CAAACTAACAACTTACAGTCATCAGACAATTGATGTGCGGTACAAACGAGACACTAGCTGTAAAGACGTGCTCTTATACCGACACAAACTAACAACTTACAGTCATCAGACAATTGATGTGCGGTACAAACGAGACACTAGCTGTAAAGACGTGCTCTTATACCGACACAAACTAACAACTTACAGTCATCAGACAATTGATGTGCGGTACAAACGAGACACTAGCTGTAAAGACGTGCTCTTATACCGACACAAACTAACAACTTACAGTCATCAGACAATTGATGTGCGGTACAAACGAGACACTAGCTGTAAAGACGTGCTCTTATACCGACACAAACTAACAACTTACAGTCATCAGACAATTGATGTGCGGTACAAACGAGACACTAGCTGTAAAGACGTGCTCTTATACCGACACAAACTAACAACTTACAGTCATCAGACAATTGATGTGCGGTACAAACGAGACACTAGCTGTAAAGACGTGCTCTTATACCGACACAAACTAACAACTTACAGTCATCAGACAATTGATGTGCGGTACAAACGAGACACTAGCTGTAAAGACGTGCTCTTATACCGACACAAACTAACAACTTACAGTCATCAGACAATTGATGTGCGGTACAAACGAGACACTAGCTGTAAAGACGTGCTCTTATACCGACACAAACTAACAACTTACAGTCATCAGACAATTGATGTGCGGTACAAACGAGACACTAGCTGTAAAGACGTGCTCTTATACCGACACAAACTAACAACTTACAGTCATCAGACAATTGATGTGCGGTACAAACGAGACACTAGCTGTAAAGACGTGCTCTTATACCGACACAAACTAACAACTTACAGTCATCAGACAATTGATGTGCGGTACAAACGAGACACTAGCTGTAAAGACGTGCTCTTATACCGACACAAACTAACAACTTACAGTCATCAGACAATTGATGTGCGGTACAAACGAGACACTAGCTGTAAAGACGTGCTCTTATACCGACACAAACTAACAACTTACAGTCATCAGACAATTGATGTGCGGTACAAACGAGACACTAGCTGTAAAGACGTGCTCTTATACCGACACAAACTAACAACTTACAGTCATCAGACAATTGATGTGCGGTACAAACGAGACACTAGCTGTAAAGACGTGCTCTTATACCGACACAAACTAACAACTTACAGTCATCAGACAATTGATGTGCGGTACAAACGAGACACTAGCTGTAAAGACGTGCTCTTATACCGACACAAACTAACAACTTACAGTCATCAGACAATTGATGTGCGGTACAAACGAGACACTAGCTGTAAAGACGTTTATAGATACAACTAACAACTTACAGTCATCAGACAATTGATGTGCGGTACAAACGAGACACTAGCTGTAAAGACGTGTATAGATACAACTAACAACACCTTATAGAGACGTAGATGGAATTTACAGAATAAAACGTACAGAAAACAAACAGTACCTGATGAGAAACTTAATACTTAATAAATACAAACACACAACCGAGAACATCTATTCATAGAGACGTTCACGTTTTGATGAAGATAAATGTGTATGATTTGTATACATTTAGCAGATGGTGAAATTATCAGACGCTCACGCGGAAAGCAAAGAGACAAATTATTGCCACTATTAAAGAAAACAGCGTTTTGCTTGTTTGTTCGATATACAAAACTATTACAAATTGATGTAAACAAACAAAACAAACAAATAGTAAACATCCATATACCAACTATCAGTATATAAACAGTAATTAAATAACTAATTACAATAAAAGATAAGTAGATATAAATATCATAATTAATCATACAAGTGTACTAGCTAAAATATCTGTATACTGTTGTGTTGGAACGATGCAATTAATCACACAGCAACTACATATACTCCCTAGTAAGACCTGACAATGTTTGTTTGTGTTACGCTAAACACGTTTGTTTGATTTAAATATTTCAGATAATTGGTTTTAGTTAGATGTTATATAAAAGGACATAAGCTGTGATTATGATATCTGATTAAATAATAAAGCATAAAATATAATTCAATTTACGACTTATCGTTAATTAGAATTTACTAGGACTTTTATACACTGAGGATATTGATCAATGTAATCCAATGATAAATTAATAAAGATCACGTTTTTTTCTCTTTTGAATTAATAACAAATTTTAACTTTGTTGTCGAATAAGACTAAACGTCATTCTATGCCTATGGGAGCACATCGATATAAAAGCTGTACACATCAATACTGAAATAAGCAAAATAAAGATATATAGTAACACAGCACGCGACTTCGCATATTATTATAGTATGATCAAATTAGCAGCGTAAGATATCACGACATCGAAAAATATACAACTATGTTTCTATTGTATGTTTAATACACATCAATATTTTATGCATTAATGCATTGTTTTAACTTGGAGATATTTTAAAACCAAGTTAAGCTGTCCTTCGACAACCCTTCTACGGATTTGCGATGCTGTTTTCATATTTTGTCTTGTATTCTTTTCGTAAGTTGAATTGCGGACAGAACACGACAGTGCCGATTTCTGATCAAGTAAAGCGTCACACATGAACACATGAAATAGTAAATCTATCACTTTGCTAGAGCTAAATATGTTTGTTGTACGTTAGGTCACAAAGCTGGATACATTAAGCTCTTGCCAGATGTATACGTCAATGTTATAGCTGGCTATACAGATTGATTTTAGCTACACGTATGTGTTATTGTTAGTGATGGTTTAAACGTATCGAGGGAAGCATCTCTATACAGATTTAAGGCATTTTATAGGGTCGCATCAATTTTAGAAATGTGTTCACAACCTTTCGGCGATATGAACATGTAACGTTTCAAATTATGTTCATTAGTGCGCCTACAATGTCACTTCCCTAGTACACTTTTTGAGAATGTCACATTACTTAAATTTTACTAACACTACTTACTATATATATATAGATAGATAGATAGATAGATAGTAGATAGATAGCTAGATAGATAGATAGAAAGATAGATGTCTTGATTTCCTCCATTATCACGAAGATTATGAACATTTATACCCATATATTCAAACATTTACTTTAACAGTTACTTATTTTGTATCTTGTACATTCGTTATATAGACGAAGATTTATTTTGCCATTATACAGTAGACTGGCGACCAATCAGCTTTTGTGATAATCACGCAGTAATTAAGCTAAACATCTGGCCAGAGCAGTAATGATGACGCTGTGTTTAAGCATAAACTGCTCATATGCGTCGTCGTCGTCGTCAATTTCGATGCGACCCCGCTCGTCTAGTATTATCTTCGCTTTGTCATCCAGTTAAGAAAACATTAAACAGCTCGTGGTACCTAAAAATTTAACCACATTGCTAAATACACTGTAAAGTAATTGGTACTATTTTTAAGCTTAATAGTCTAGAATAAAAAGGTATTACTGTACACAAAAGATAGAAACTGAGTTCGCATGCCCTTGTCATCGATGGTTTAACTAGCGACCAATATCAATTTTCTGATCATGTTGATTGAGCACACGGGTATCTTCATAGATAATTCATCCTTTTTCATTAAACATATTGTATGAGTTATATTATGTGATTTACTTTCATAGCAATGTGACTTTATGGGAATTAAACGATAAGTATTTTACAAGTTCCGACAGGTTTTCGTAAATTGTCTAGTAACAGGTATTTTAAATATCATATTTAAAAATATGTTTAAATACTTCTAAAACTCGCAATATATGTATATTGTAATGAAATATCTACTTGATATATACTGACGCGAAAAATTCTACCGAATACCCAGATCAGCAACAATTGTAAGACGAGGAATTATTTCGATGGAAACAGTCAAGATATATGTATGGAGCTAAATACATAAATATATAAATATATGTGTATTCATAACATAAGACGCCAAACGAATACAAAAATGTGGAAAACATAGTAAAATGCAAAAATAGGCCGAGCTGTTTTAACACATTCTGAAAAGTGCATTTTAAACCTGATTGTTTCCATGTTGTTTCATGTAAAATGGAACTTTTTTAAGATACAAAATTCTTTTTTTTTTAATTAAAGTCAAACAATCATAATCTCATTAATTTACTTAATGAAATACGTATAGCGCATTAATTATAATTAATCGAAAACATACGATTAGCTAGTTCAACAACTCGGCCAACATTCACACACATAGGCACTGTGAGTACAATGCATGTGGTCCACAGTATACGTGGGAGTGCTATTATGCAATATACTGTGTAGAGAATAAAGATTATATAACTGTTAAAACAGTATGGGTTTAGCATGGTGTAACCAAGGACGTCACAATTTCTTTATAGTAAACATATTATTAATTTGATTTTTTTTTTAAACTGTAAACATTCTGAATTCAATGCTTGCGATATTTCTGTGCAATCAGTCCAAACGGCACGCAATATTGCCTTGTAAAAGCTGATTTTTTGTAAAACATACACGTTCAAATACATTTTTTTTCATTTTTTTTTCAATTCAATTCAAATCAAAAATGAAAACAAAAGAAAAACAAACAAAAATAAAAATGCATTTTCTATAAAAATAGCTGTAACGTCATTTTTCATTTTTTTCAATTCAATTCAAAATGTTTACAGTTTTTTTTGAAAATGCAATTTCTCTAAATTAGATCACATTATAGAATAACTGCATTAGTATTGGTCACACAGACTCGCGAAAGCACCAAAGATAATTTATCTAGAGCATAGATATTCCTCATTATGATTCCATATGTTCACATTATGCTTCCCATATTGAGTTAACATTTCAATTTGATAAATAATAATTAATATCTTATGTGCATAAACACGAGGTAGATATATATGTATAGATAAACATAATTGAAACATAGGACGCAGTGCGCATATTAGGTATCAGAGGACTCATGCAAATATGAATATTCATGAGTGTATAAAGCCTCGCTTTGAACCCGTCTCGTCGACTAACCTTCCACGGGTGTAAGGTAAGCTGCATCCGAACCTGTAAAAATAACCCCGTGACATGTCAAAGTTCACAGAGCATGCACATTCGAGGTATGCTAACAAAATCAAAACAAAGCCAGATATGACACTACTAATCGTTCTGTTAGGATGTGGACGACTAATTCCAAACGTTAAGAAGAGTTAGACGATTCAATAGACGTTTCTGTTTATATTTTTTCTACATTATCATTCACGTATGATGTTTTGCTTCGAGTTGTCATCATCCAAAGCAAAGGAGAAAGAATCAGTTAAAATGCAAACAATATTATTAGAAAAGAAAATCACAGAAAATTGTAGACTTAGTATTCTTAGGGTTTAATAAAACATTCAAAGAAAAAACAGTAGCAATAGACTGAACAGAGACATTGCTGACTGTTACAACTAGAGAGTATCTAGTGACTAGCAATAGAATCGAGAGAGGAAACGGAGTTTAGCAGAAGATCAGTAGCAATAACCTAAGTAAGATGCATTTCAGAAGAAAGATATTATTAGATCAATAGCACTGTGTACTAGAATGCTACGTTATACCAAATCAGTCAAAGCGTAAACTATCTGTAAAGGAGTAATTTTGAAATCGCTTTGCGCTATGACGTGAACAATTTTATAAAGTTAACGAGGGTTTGAACTCACTTTCACAGACTTGTGCCACGACCAGCTCTGTCATTATGTGGAGCTCGCTAATGGTGTCGAGACTAAACAAATTAGCATAAGCCGGTTCAGATACCACGTTCGATAACTCCTGTTTGCCTTCCTCGCTCCATGTAATGCCGATGACGTTTACACCGATGTCCTTCAGAGCCTGGGCGTACTGGTAGCTCTGGGTCACTCGTCTGTTTGAGATTCCTGTCGTTATTAGAATGACCATGTCGGGGACCTGGGGCCTATCTCCATAATATTCAAAAAATACCCTCCGCCTCAGCGCGTCTAGAGCGTCAGCTAAGTTCCTTTCTCCTGGCCAAAAGCTTGCAGATCGGATGGCATCCTCGACACCCTGGGGTGTATTAATCTCTCCCAACCGGAAGTGGATTTTCGGACTTGTGCTATATGTGACCAGGGATATTCGAGTAACCTCAGAGCTTACATTAGCTAATTTGACGAATTTGATGAGAAAATCCCTAATGGTTAGAAAGGTCTCATTGTTATCGGCGTATGCTTCTGAAGTGTCAACAAGCAACACAATGTCCATGGGTCTATTTCCACACCCTACAAAAAAGGAAAACCTAGCACTAGTAAGATAGCCAATGGAACCACACAACAGGGTTGCAAACACAGAACAAGGGTTGCCAAGATATCACACAGAACCGCTGTTGCCATTTACATATAGTGTACCTAACAAAATCAACAGCAGTTGTTGATGCATTTAAACTCGTATCTCAACCACGACCGATGTTACGACACGACGTTTTAGTGTTATCATAATAATAACTAGTTTTGTTAAATGAATGCATTTAGTGGAGACACACATATACACGGAATACAAATATATCATACATATATACTTAATTATAAGTTTGGAACACGAGGCGTTACTAAAACTGTGCTATTTTGTAAATGACAATAATTTAATTTCGCTTGTAACAAACCTTTTCATTGCCCTAAAAAATATGTTATCAGCCCATAACATAAAATAAATGACGTCTCCGTTTGTAACGTCGTTTTTGATTGGCTGATACAGCGGCGTAATAATTTCAAAGAGAAAAGAGTCCATCAATAAAAGTTGATTTCCACAGGGATTGTGTATAGTAGATTAAATTATAAGGATTAACTTGAATATATGTTTTATGTTATGGAGCTATAACACATAAAACCGGAGTGTACTCTCATATAACATAAAAAATATTTTCAAGTTAATCCTTAAATCAAAATGGCGGCAGAGGTATGAATACAAATGAATTGTTAAACATATTTTAAACGATATCGCTATAATTATTAACAGTGCTTCGGTACAAGGTGAGAGTAACACGCACAGAAAACGATTCTGTTGTCAATATTCACTTAGAGTAATATCCTATATCGATACCAGTGTCCGTACAGAGATGTAACTCCATTGGCTTACAAGTATTGTTGTTATACATTTCGATTAATAAATCATGAGCAGATTTTAAGCAAAAATGCCGAAACGTTGTTTCCGTATCGATGTGATATCCTGAGTTGAAGACAGGCCTAGAAATACAACACGTGACGGGGTTCACAGGAGTAGGAATACGTTACAGTGGTGATTTGGGGGAACTATTTTCCCTTAACATAACAGCAAGTCAGTGGGATAACATACACATAGGAGTTGTAATATTTATACAAACGGCACAGAAAGAAACAGATCGATATATTCGTATTCCAGTTATAAATAATCTGATAATAACAACATGGTATTATGCAAAGTGTATAGTTATTTAAAATCCAAAAATCCATATAAATGTCAATTCCATTCATTGTTGTTTAAAAGTCAAGGCAGGAATCATAACATCTGTATCAAGAGTTACAGCAAAGCCATGGAAATGTCTGAAGAGTTTGTCTTCCCATTCTCACCGGCTGGTATTTAATTTTGTCATTTAAGAATATACGTTTCTAAATGTGTATGTTATCACTAAAATCATCCAAGATTATGATACCAAAGTGCCATAACGCTTGATACATTGTAATCCCAGGCTAGAACAAGCATTCTCAACAAGCATGGTCACATCAACAGAGCTTATCGATATCGGTTAGAACAGGAAATTGAACACCAAGTTATATCAAGGTATCACTTGAATTTGCCCAAATATTCATGAATAAGACTCATATTTAGACCAAATTATTTTAAAAAAATATATAATACACCATTCATTGTACATCAAAGATTCCTATCCGTGTAAGTAATAACTAAATTAATTACTGCATTGCTATTACTGATTATTCGTCAGTTCAATTAATGGAAATCACATGATAAATACAGCTCAGCTGTCGAAACGGCCAAATGTCAATTTTAGTTTTTATAAAAGAAATAATTATAGAAATAGAAATTTCTAAAAAATCTAAACAACGTAATATTTAACCGTCTTATATGACGTCATTAAGTTAAACATAATTTCATTTTTAGATTCTCTAGTTCTTGTTTGGGTCTAGTTTCTCAAATCTGGTTGTTTTCCGAGTCAGCAATCATTCAGAATACATTGCAATACATCTCGAGTCTTCATTCTGTGTCTGAATGTTTTGTTTACATGTATAAAGTATCTGTTATTTTTTTAATAACCTTTATACAACGTTACGTTACGGTTCTTAGATACCCTGGTAACACACTGTACTACATCAAATATTTATACATAGATCATATTCTGACATTCCCAAAAAATATATTTTGACAATTGACGTATGGTGGATTATAAAGTATAAATGAAAAGAAAATACTTGTAAGATATTTTAAAAACTTTCTTCTTAATAGTAAAATTAGATTGAATTGTAAAATAATTGTTGATTTGTTTTCTGCTTTCTTAAAATACTGGCACAAACGATGTTGTGATGCCAAAAAAGCACGCCTCTTAATTCAGATGTATCGTTATGTAAACTTAACATATGGTTGTTTTAGTTTTAATGCTGGTTTTACAAGTTTCCAAAAGAGATATAGAATGCCACAGAACCTACAATGACAAAACACAAGAAAAACGTGCATGCCTGATTTCTTCAAGGGATCTATTTTTAATTTATGTACATTGTATGTAGCGTTTCCCATGTGCACTATTCGATAAAGGACAACTTAAACTAAAAGAAAAATATGTTTGAAAAAAAATGTTCTTAACATTTTACTTTCTTTTTACTTTAGATAATTTAGATAACCAGAGATGATCAGCTAGATCCTCTACAACGGCTTCATCAGACATACCGACCTAACAACGCCGTTACTCATCACGTGATTTCCGGTCTTAACACAGGAACGACAACCGCGAAACGACAAAATGCAGTAAGATATCCCACAACACAAACCAGGATAACTTACCGTCAAATGTTCCGAAGCTTTCATCCGGGTCAAATCCATCAAGTTCTCCAAACGGGTCTAGAAAATCATCACCTTTAATACGAATACAACACATACAGTTAGAAATAGTATTACGGTGTTTTTTCTAGAAATTACTAACAGAGTTATTTATTCATTTGTAATTAGAAAAAGAAAAAACCCCGAAATAAATAGATATCATTGAATTTTAGTGGTTTTTTTTTTTATATTCAGCGTAAATCTTTTATATATATATATATTGGTACATATCATTTGATCTCCACAAAGGTTTGACTAAATTTGACAAATAGACAAACAGATGATCAACTTTACACAACATAAATACACCAACACAGAGAACGGCTGACTTTCGATAAACACAACAAAGAGAGCTGGTGAAAATGGCATATAGGTAGTATAAACAGCATGTACAAAATTGATAACCAAAACTAAATACAGCTTTCGAAGCAGTTTTCTTTCATTTAACAAAATGAAGTTCAGACAATGCTAGCCATTGCGTAAAACACAAAGAAATATCCAGTAAACAAGATAATTGAAGGTTTATAAAGTATACCAACTACAGATTGTATCTTTATTATATCGCCTTACCGATTTATGTAGAAAAAAATAGCACGGGGCTTTCGGAGATAATAATTCATTCTATCAGCTTACCCATTGGTACAGCATATACCGTATATCAATATTGTTATCGAGACTAGTTACTGAAGTAACTGGTTTCCTTTGTAACCTACCCTCGTCAATAAACACGAAACTCTTGGCCTCTTGTAGGTAGCCGAAATTTTCAATGAGGAATCTATGATTTTCCAAGGGTTTAGATACAAGTCTGTCTAGTTGTATAATATCAAACAGTCCTATTCCAATGGCGTATATCTCAATGCCCTGTTCGTTGCTAGTTTCTGCTTCTCTCATTGCTTTCGAAGATTCCAAATCGAATACTCCGTCAGTGATTATTAACAAAACATTGCGAGCTTCCGGCCGATCACCGTCCGTATTGAATACCTTAGTCCGCACAGCAAGTAGTGCATCGGCTATCAACGTGTTTCCGGTATCAAATGTCGTTTCCTGAACAAATTCTAAAAGTTCCTCTTTATTATCGACTTCATTAAGACCGAAACGTATCACAGTGGTATCACCAAACGTAACAACAGCAACGCGGACTTCTCCGGAATCTACCGAAGCATCTTCGACAATTTCCGCCATAAACTGTAGAATTTTATTGAAGTTTGATCCTGTTACACTTTCCGACGAATCAATCAAAAACACCAAATCCAGCGGTTTTGATAGGTCAACTGAAAGTAAGAATGTCTTCCTGTATTATTATTTATCGACTGGATGATAAAATGGGGTCGCTGGAGTAATTAAATGTAATTGGCAGGTTATAGCATGTCTTGTAGTGCTAAGAGCAAACTCTGAAAACCATGCAATGTCGTGTGTAGATCCTGGCATTGTGCTGTAAGCGCTATGCTGAAGATGACGATATCACTTGGTTTCCTCTGCGCATTTGTTGCAGAGATGAAGCCGAACATTCGTTTTTTGCGCAGACGTGCTCTTCCGATCTCGCCAGCTGATGATGACGTACCGAGGCCGAATACATTCTTGCCTCTAGATGTCGCCATGCCGAAGTCAAGTACATTCTTTGCCGCTAGATGTCGCCATGCCGATGTCAAGTACATTATATACCGCTAGGTGGCGCCATGCCGAGGTCAAGAATATTATATACCGCTAGGTGGCGCCATGCGGCATTTAAGGTCTTAAGCCATAAGGCAGCGCTATGACAAATGGTAAAGGGTTGTGTGGAAACTAGTCCTAGTGGGGAAATAGATATGTAATGGAAACAAGGGATCGGGTTCTAAGATTTATGAACTAAAGCACGCTGGCAGATGGGTTTCGGACAGGTTTTTGTAAATAAATTATATCTATTATATTAATCAGTTAAGCATTATGTATCTAGTAAGGTGTGTTACAAACGTCACGTTATTCGTACAATAGCATGCAGATGATTTAAATGACAACTAAAACAGATACAAAATGTACTCGCTGTTTAAACGATGGAAACATTAAACAATACCCAATCAATGGCCGAAACAACTTCGTGTGGAACACAAAACCGTTACCTGGTATCGGTATGTTTTGGAGACCATGCAAATCTCCAGAAGGGATGTAAAAGTACATTCATGCACCATTAATATTAAGGTTAAACTATCGGATTGTTCTTAGATATTTGTTAATATGTTCCTGTATTTAACTTCGGATCCAAACAATACAGAAATTAGGAATATTGGCAATTTATTTTCATTTCGATTTTTTTGTATTTTTCCGAAAACAGTACTTGCTTATTGATGTCCATTTTTTTAAGTTAAATACCTGTAAGGTGTGTTAACTCGACAGTATGCCGTACATCTCAGGTCCGTATCGAGGTTCTTAGAACTCCCTCTGTATTTCAATGTCATTCTAATGGAGTTCATCATAATAGTTTATACCAAATATTGAGAACTTTCTCAATCCTTCAGAGATGTAAGGATTCGTACAAAAAACAACACGATTTGACAGTTCTAAACGTGTCATTGAGGGACAATGAAAAGGTTGTGGCTTTGCAGCATGCTGAATTAACAGGAAATACCCATTAAAACATTATCCGCTCTTCCTCATAAGATGGTGGAAACGTATAAATAGCTACATGATAGACAAGCAGGTTTCCGACACGGTCTCACATGGAGGCAAAATATGTCAGGTTCAACAAATGATATACAGTGATATTTATACATATTTAATATTGCAACACAATATTTTCTCTATTTCCTTCTTTCTTTCTTAAATATGATATTCTTCTGAATAAGCCTTACAGGTATTATTTCGATTGTGACGTTATAATATAATATAAACGATTTAGGCGTCATTTCAGCTTCATTTTATGACGTCATCATAGCTTATGTTACATAATTCGCAGGAAAAATATATAACATGGTTTTTTTTTACTACGAGGAACTATGTAATGAATACATGCAAACACAAGCAATAATGAAGAAAAACATGGGTAGATAAATATACTTCAAACGAAACATTAATGTGTATTTTGTAACCTTCTGATACTTAATGTAGCACCCCGTAGTCCTGTAGCGGGAGTTTATCATTGATACCTAATGTAGCTCCCCGTAGTCCTGTAGCGGGAGCTTATCATTGATACTTAATGTAGCACCCCGTAGTCCTGTAGCGGGAGTTTATCATTGATACTTAATGTAGCACCCCGTAGTCCTGTAGCGGGAGCTTATCATTGATACCTAATGTAGCACCCCGTAGTCCTGTAGCGGGAGTTTATCATTGATACTTAATGTAGCACCCTGTAGTCCAGTAGCGGGAGTTTATCATTGATACTTAATGTAGCACCCCGTAGTCCTGTAGCGGGAGTTTATCATTGATACCTACTGTAGCACCCCGTAGTCCTGTAGCGGGAGTTTATCACTGATACTTAATGTAGCACCCTGTAGTCCAGTAGCGGGAGTTTATCATTGATACTTAATGTAGCACCTCGTAGTCCTGTAGCGGGAGCTTATCATTGATACTTGATGTAGCACCCCGTAGTCCTGTAGCGGGAGTTTATCATTAATACTTAATGTAGTGCCCCGTAGTCCTGTAGCGGGAGTTTATCATTGATACCTAATGTAGCACCCCGTAGTCCTGTAGCGGGAGTTTATCATTAATACTTAATGTAGTACCCCGTAGTCCTGTAGCGGGAGTTTATCATTGATACTTAATGTAGCTCGATCCCCGTAGTCCTGTAGCGGGAGTTTATCATTGATACCTAATGTAGCTCCCCGTAGTCCTGTAGCGGGAGTTTATCATTGATACTTAATGTAGCTCGATCCCCGTAGTCCTGTAGCGGGAGGTTATCATTGATACTTAATGTAGCTCCCCGTAGTCCTGTAGCGGGAGTTCATCATTGATATTTAATGTAGCACCCTGTAGTCCAGTAGCGGGAGTTTATCATTGATACCTAATGTAGCTCCCCGTAGTCCTCTAGCGGGAGTTTATCATTAATACTTAATGTAGCACCCCGTAGTCCTGTAGCGGGAGTTTATCATTGATACTTAATGTAGCACACCGTAGTCCTGTAGCGGGAGTTTAACATTGATACTTAATATAGCAACCCGTAGTCCTGTAGCGGGAGTTTATCATGGAAGTGGTTAGGGTGACAATGAAATACTAATAAAAAGTTTGTTGTACCCGAGAATTGTTTTGTTAACTCATTAATGGTCTGATAGACATCTTTCATTCTTATTTTATAAATCATTCATAGACAAAAAAGTTGTTTTATGAAAAATCATATTTTGTTTTCAAGTGATCGTCTGTATCCTTTCAACTTGTTTAATGAAATAGAACAGCCGTCTATAAGAAATAGACAGCCGTCTATAAGGAATAGAACAGCCGTCTATAAGAAATAGACAGCCGTCTATAAGGAATAGGACAGCCGTCTATAAGAAATAGACAGCCGTCTTTAAGAAATAGAACAGCCGTCTTTAAGAAATAGGACAGCCGTCTTTAAGAAATAGGACAGCCTTCTTTAAGAAATAGAACAGCCGTCTTATTATTAATCTCATATTTTTTTAATGAACCAATATTATGCAGACGGGGTCAGTCTAGCCAAGAATAGGAATGAAATGCATTTCATTAAGGTAGGATTGAGACAGCCAGGCAATGGAGTATGAGGTGTCACTAACCTAATGGGACACTGATACATGATTACAAGACAGTGGAGTATGAGGTGTGACATACCTAATGGGACACTGATACATGATTACAAGACAGTGGAGTATGAGGTGTGACATACCTAATGGGACACTGATACATGATTACAAGACAGTGGAGTATGAGGTGTGACATACCTAATGGGACACTGATACATGATTACAAGACAGTGGAGTATGAGGTGTGACATACCTAATGGGACACTGATACATGATTACAAGACAGTGGAGTATGAGGTGTGACATACCTAATGGGACACTGATACATGATTACAAGACAGTGGAGTATGAGGTGTGACATACCTAATGGGACACTGATACATGATTACAAGACAGTGGAGTATGAGGTGTGACATACCTAATGGGACACTGATACATGATTACAAGACAGTGGAGTATGAGGTGTGACATACCTAATGGGACACTGATACATGATTACAAGACAGTGGAGTATGAGGTGTGACATACCTAATGGGACACTGATACATGATTACAAGACAGTGGAGTATGAGGTGTGACATACCTAATGGGACACTGATACATGATTACAAGACAGTGGAGTATGAGGTGTGACATACCTAATGGGACACTGATACATGATTACAAGACAGTGGAGTATGAGGTGTGACATACCTAATGGGACACTGATACATGATTACAAGACAGTGGAGTATGAGGTGTGACATACCTAATGGGACACTGATACATGATTACAAGACAGTGGAGTATGAGGTGTGACATACCTAATGGGACACTGATACATGATTACAAGACAGTGGAGTATGAGGTGTGACATACCTAATGGGACACTGATACATGATTACAAGACAGTGGAGTATGAGGTGTGACATACCTAATGGGACACTGATACATGATTACAAGACAGTGGAGTATGAGGTGTGACATACCTAATGGGACACTGATACATGATTACAAGACAGTGGAGTATGAGGTGTGACATACCTAATGGGACACTGATACATGATTACAAGACAGTGGAGTATGAGGTGTGACATACCTAATGGGACACTGATACATGATTACAAGACAGTGGAGTATGAGGTGTGACATACCTAATGGGACACTGATACATGATTACAAGACAGTGGAGTATGAGGTGTGACATACCTAATGGGACACTGATACATGATTACAAGACAGTGGAGTATGAGGTGTGACATACCTAATGGGACACTGATACATGATTACAAGACAGTGGAGTATGAGGTGTGACATACCTAATGGGACACTGATACATGATTACAAGACAGTGGAGTATGAGGTGTGACATACCTAATGGGACACTGATACATGATTACAAGACAGTGGAGTATGAGGTGTGACATACCTAATGGGACACTGATACATGATTACAAGACAGTGGAGTATGAGGTGTGACATACCTAATGGGACACTGATACATGATTACAAGACAGTGGAGTATGAGGTGTGACATACCTAATGGGACACTGATACATGATTACAAGACAGTGGAGTATGAGGTGTGACATACCTAATGGGACACTGATACATGATTACAAGACAGTGGAGTATGAGGTGTGACATACCTAATGGGACACTGATACATGATTACAAGACAGTGGAGTATGAGGTGTGACATACCTAATGGGACACTGATACATGATTACAAGACAGTGGAGTATGAGGTGTGACATACCTAATGGGACACTGATACATGATTACAAGACAGTGGAGTATGAGGTGTGACATACCTAATGGGACACTGATACATGATTACAAGACAGTGGAGTATGAGGTGTGACATACCTAATGGGACACTGATACATGATTACAAGACAGTGGAGTATGAGGTGTGACATACCTAATGGGACACTGATACATGATTACAAGACAGTGGAGTATGAGGTGTGACATACCTAATGGGACACTGATACATGATTACAAGACAGTGGAGTATGAGGTGTGACATACCTAATGGGACACTGATACATGATTACAAGACAGTGGAGTATGAGGTGTGACATACCTAATGGGACACTGATACATGATTACAAGACAGTGGAGTATGAGGTGTGACATACCTAATGGGACACTGATACATGATTACAAGACAGTGGAGTATGAGGTGTGACATACCTAATGGGACACTGATACATGATTACAAGACAGTGGAGTATGAGGTGTGACATACCTAATGGGACACTGATACATGATTACAAGACAGTGGAGTATGAGGTGTGACATACCTAATGGGACACTGATACATGATTACAAGACAGTGGAGTATGAGGTGTGACGTACTTGATGGGACACTGATACATGATTACAAAACAGTGGAGTATGAGGTGTGACGTACCTAATGGGACACTGATACATGATTACAAGACAGTGTAGTTTGAGGTATGACATACCTAATTGGACATTGATACAGGATTACAAGACAGTGGAGTATGAGGTGTGACATAACTAATGGGACACTGATACATGATTACAAGACAGTGTAGTTTGAGGTATGACATACCTAATTGGACATTGATACAGGATTACAAGACAGTGGAGTATGAGGTGTGACATAACTAATGGGACACTGATACATGATTACAAGACAGTGTAGTTTGAGGTATGACATACCTAATTGGACATTGATACAGGATTACAAGACAGTGGAGTATGAGGTGTGACATAACTAATGGGACACTGATACATGATTACAAGACAGTGTAGTTTGAGGTATGACATACCTAATTGGACATTGATACAGGATTACAAGACAGTGGAGTATGAGGTGTGACATAACTAATGGGACACTGATACATGATTACAAGACAGTGTAGTTTGAGGTATGACATACCTAATTGGACATTGATACAGGATTACAAGACAGTGGAGTATGAGGTGTGACATTCCTAATGGGACACTGATACATGATTACAAGACAGTTGAGTATGAGGTGTGACATACCTCATGGGACACTGATACATGATTACAAGACAGTGGATTAGGAGGTGTGACGTACCTAATGGGACACTGATACATGATTACAAGGCAGTGGAGTATGATGTGTCACTAACCTAATGGGACACTGATACATGATTACAAGACAGTGTAGTTTGAGGTATGACATACCTAATTGGACATTGATACAGGATTACAAGACAGTGGAGTATGAGGTGTGACATAACTAATGGGACACTGATACATGATTACAAGACAGTGTAGTTTGAGGTATGACATACCGAATGGGACACTGATACATGATTACAAGACAGTGTAGTATGATGTGTGACATACCTAATGGGACACTGATACATGATTACAAGACAGTGGATTAGGAGGTGTGACGTACCTAATGGGACACTGATACATGATTACAAGGCAGTGGAGTATGATGTGTCACTAACCTAATGGGACACTGATACATGATTACAAGACAGTGGAGTATGATGTGTCACTAACCTAATGGGACACTGATACACGATTACACTGTGTTTGGTATTTTTGGTTATCAATCATCCAGTTAGTGATAACAAGCATGTACTAGGAATCGGAGACATCACACATGGATACAAACAACAAATACACTTTCTATGCAAACAATTAAGAATTAGTATGAACAATTGTCAAAAGTTAATGAAGCTGTAGAGCTTATCGACTGTACATGCTTATTTTTTTTTAGAGTATGTTATTTTGTTAATATGGAAATGGGAATAGATTGATTAATTTTAATTAAATCTCAACTGATAACGAAAGACAGGTTAACAACATGTAATACGAACATATATAACAGACTGATCGCATGTATGACATCACATATCAAAATGATATTACTATAAAATGACGTCATTTGATCATGACGTCATATTAATAGATTGTTTATCAACAAATAGTGTAAGACGATCGATCAATTCATAATAAAAACACACATAATGGAGACAGAAAGATGAAAAAAGGATACAAAGAAACATTGATGTACAGTTACTATGACAACAGATATAACATATATCTAACTCGTCAGAACAAAACGTATGTCGTTTGATGTTAGTCATATACCCTAGATCAATTTCATTTTGTGGATTTTCTTAGAATAACAGGTGTTAAATTAAACATAACCAGTATTCGAAATGTCTAAATACAGGTGTTGTCAGATATTGTTCACTTAACTTGAAATCAAAAGTTCAAAGTAACGAAGCATTTGTTTTGCAAATTTTGGTGTGATAACTAATCTGTAAACTTCTAGATATCTACACTGGTGACGTGACGAAGATATCTAAAAATGTCTTAACACTCTGTGACGTCACAAGGAATAATGACGTCACGAGTTGAAGCAAATACTATTTATTCATATCATTATTTTGATGGATAACAAGATACGAGAGACACAACACTTACCTCCCACAGAGATCACGTGGCGACACGTGGCACATATCATTAGTAACCATGACAACCAGCGAATCGTCGCCATGGTGTATCTGAAACAATAGAACCACATTGTTAAAATAGTGAAGGTATTAATCTTATATCTAACACAGTTATAATTGGTGGCACTGACTAAACGCAAATTTCACATTTACCCTAGTACAAATGTATCAATAAATACAAATAAACAACGGTATGATATCCCAAGTACAAAATATATACAATTATAGCAGAGTGACATCATACAGGAACATGGTCAAAATACAGGTACAATGTCAAAATACAGGTACAATGTCAAAATACAGGTACATTGTCAAAATACAGGTATAATGTCAAAATACAGGTACAATGTCAAAATACAGGTTCATTGTCAAAACACAGGTACAATGTCAAAATACAGGTACATTGTCAAAATACAGGAAAAATGTCAAAATACAGGTAAAATGTCAAAATACAGGAACATTGACAAAATACAGGTACATTGTCTGAATACAGGTACATTGTCAAAATACAGGTACAATGTCAAAATACAGGTACAGTGTCAAAACACAGGTACAATGTCTGAATACAGGTACATTGTCTGAATACAGGTACCATGAATTTAATATACCACAGTGTAAAACCATGGACGTAGAAAATCAAGTTTCGTGGTAAAACACAATTTTTTTTCTATATTTTCGGTAAATATTTAAACACTTAGTACTAGAAAGATGAACAACAATCAACTAAATGCAATACAGACAAACCGTTTGGTCATACGATGACCATTGGTCAACCGGACTATGTACGTTATACAGAAGTCTGACGATACGGACAGGGAACTGTATCAAGGAAATGTTTAGAAAAGAAGGAGAGAAGACCTAAACATACATTGACGATGTAACCAATTAAACAAATTGTTCTGTAAATCTTCTAAAACTTCAAACGTTTGTTAATAATAAAAGCATGGTGTCCTTTGTTGAGGGTAGTAAGATATAATACATAAACAGGAAGTATCACTTAGTAGTAAGATATAATACATAAACAGGAAGTATCACTTAGTAGTAAGATATAATACATAAACAGGAAATATCACTTAGTAGTAAGAAATAAAACATAAACAGGAAGTATCACTTAGTAGTAAGATATAATACATAAACAGGAAGTATCACTTCTGTATTATATCTTACTACCCTCAACAAAGGACACGATGCTTTTAGTATGTCATAAAAGGTTCATACAAAATATTTACAAATGTATGAAGCTTTAGAAGATTTACAGAACAAGTTTGCTGGATGTTTAAAACATTTCTTCAATTATGACCTAAATAAATAAATAGCTATGATTTTGTTCTTCATTATGTTGAGTCAGAGGTCAGCTATTTATCCTACTTGTATACGCAACTGCAGCTCTATCACGTGATGCCTTTATGATAACTACTAGAAATAGCATTTCATGCTGGTCCGTGTGATATTTCTCGGAAACATACGAGGGTGAGCGGCTATTGTGACTGGTTCATGTGATATTTATCGGAAACATACGAGGGTGAGCGGCTATTGTGACTGGTCTGTGTGATATTTCCCGGAAACATACGAGGGTGAGCGGCTATTGTGTCTGGTCCGTGGATATTTCACGGAAACATACGAGGGTGAGCGGCTATTGTGACTGGTCCGTATGATATTTCCCGGAAACATACGAGGGTGAGCGGCTATTGTGACTGGTCCCGGAAACATACGAGGGTGAGCGGCTATTATGACATGGTCCGTGTGATATTTCCCGGAAACAAACGAGGGTGAGCGGCTATTGTGACTGGTCTGTGTGATATTTCCCGGAAACATACGAGGGTGAGCGGCTATTGTGACTAGTCTGTGTGATATTTCCCGGAAACATACGAGGGTGAGCGGTTATTGTGACTGGTCCGTGTGATATTTCTCGGAAACATACGAGGGTGAGCGGCTATTGCGACTGGTCCGTGTGATATTTCTCGGAAACTCACGAGGGTGAGCGGCTATTGTGACTGGTCCGTGTAATATTTCTCGGAAACATACGAGGGTGAGCGGCTATTGTGACTGGTCCGTGTAATTTTTTTCGGAAACACACGAGGGTGAGCTGCTATTGTGACTGGTCCTCGAGCTCCCTAGGGTGAGAGATAGGTGGGTGTAGATGTCATACATGTATTACAAATTCGATAAATTGAAAATGTGATACACATGTATTACCAATAGGGCCGATCTAAAATACGATTGACCAGAGACATATAAAGCCATATACTGTAGACTAGAGCAATTCATCAAGAAAAATAATAAAACAGGAAATAAGAGATGGGAAAATGTTTTATAAAAAAACCGGGGGAAACGACGGTTTCATTGAATGCATTCTCGAGAAATATGACATTAAGTGAAAATTCATCAAACATTTTCGAGTTATCTCCCTTTAACCATAAACTTCCCATGTCTGCGGTCGTAATCACTAAAGCTGACAGTGCAAGTCAAAAAGGTTTCAATTGAGTTTTTTAGAAATACAAGTTACATTTTCTGGTTTTGAGATATTCTCCATCTAATATCTAATGCACAACCTCCCACCCCCTTCCCCAAAAAGACGGCCCTGAAAGAAGCAAATTTTTAGATACCCAACTAGTTATAACCTCTTGTGTGAAAACAATACTAATTCTCCAATTATTTCCATGAAAACGGTTCAAATATCACATTGTTGACTTCACACCACGGAGTGTCGCATTCCGCACGTGTTTTGCTAGTAACGCGTTTACACGACGAAGACTAAGAGTTCAAAATAAAGTTTTCGTGTGTTGGTGCAGTTATATGCACGTGTAAGACCGATGATCAATTTGGGATTTATAGAAGTGTTTTCAGTAATATGCCTTTTATTTTGGATATACAATTTTCAATAATGTACCATAAGTAACAATCAGCTTGGCAGTGTTTCAAAGTCTTCAGGTGAGTGCGTTTGATTTATGATATCGGTTTCCGATCAGGGTGCGCGTTACATTGAATCGCAAGACGGTCAGTAGTAGAATGATACCCGGTTTGACAGGTAATGCGCTTTTTATACCCAGCGAGACCCATACTCGCTACCAAGCAAGGACAATCTAAAACGTCGGAACTTCCTTATTAACGATAGTCGAAAGAGATGGGGAGGATCTCAAAACCAGTTTTTTTTGTTTTTTTTTTAAACAATTGTTTTTTAAATCTCAATTGAAAGCTTTTTAACTTGCACTGTCAGCTTTAACCTGGCTACCGTTATGCTACCATTAACATGTACAGATCATGCTGTCTAAGAGCCATGCCCTGGAAAATGAAACGGTCTTATTTCTGTTTGATCTTGAAACTGATAGCGAACGCATAAGTCTTGTTTACACATGTGCGCTTTAATGCGGTGATGCTTTTTGCAATATCAGCAACATTCATAAACAATCGTATGCGAAAAACAGATTTAGGAGACTTTCCTTCTACTTGTTACATTAAGAAAATGGTTGCAAACAATTAGCTGAATCTAATCAAATTTCCCATCGTAAAGGATCTTGCCTGTACAATCATCTACAGCATGTCTATGGAGCAGGAATTGACGTAAATTACAAGTCTGTAAATAAGAACACTTGTACAGCCAATTACTGCTACCATAAAAAAACTAATTCGGGGCGTCCTTATTGTCATAAATTGCCTGCAAATACGTATAAGTTGATCGGTTATATTACCGCTGTTTATTTTAAACGTAATACTCGTTTTGTCTTCAGTCAAACGTTGAAGCTATTTTGCGGAGTACTGTGGTATCTTCTACGTGTAATTCCTTGGATTTATTACGAGGAACTCATAACAGCTTAACATAGTGATACGTATCGCTCGAAAGTCCGATATGTGAAAATAAACTCTGTTAAAAATGTAATAAAATCTGTATGAAAACATCTATAGATAACTCAACGGCACCATTTCATGAGCAATTATCACGCTCAAACTTAGAACGATCGCGCAAGCTCAGTTCCCCATTTAAATGAGAAAATGCAATGTTTGTTTAAATGTTACATAACTCTAGTGTATAACTGAATATACCATTTACTCGTGTTTATTATTTCGTTTTCTATTTTGATGTACGGACTCGGTGTATGTCAAGGCAGTTTCAGAACATCACTTGAGACTGTCGATAGGAGCAGAATTGTGTAATGTTTAAGGTAGCACACAGCCCTAGTCCGGTCACACGCGTACAGAGCCCTAGTCCAGTCACACGCGCACACAGCCCTAGTCCGGTCACACGCGGTGTGTTTGTTACTAGGCAAGTATGACGTTTGTAGTCAAATATGTATTGCCAGTCGACACAAGTTAACTGTAGACTTTTTGTATCTTGATTAGCGGATATTTTATTTCTGTGATTTTTTTTACCTTGATATGAACTCTCTAAGACGAATATTTCTACAACTCTCTGCTGTAGCTGTAAGTGTTTGCACATTTTTTAAATTTTACTGAACAATTTTGAGTTCATGCTACAAAGAAACAAGTATCTATACATTGTTTTACACTTACAGCAGTAATACTGTATCTATACATTGTTTTACACTTACAGAAGTAATACTGTATCTATACAGTGTTTTACACTTACAGCAGTAATACTGTATCTATACAGTGTTTTACACTTACAGCATTAATGATGTAGTCAGTTTCGATGTATGTTACGTCACAGCAGACTTAATTATTAATTTAACATATATTCTGACAAATACCAAAGTGTCTCCGCCTTTTCATCACTTCATTGCTACATTTTGTATATTAAAGTACAAAGTGAACGACACAAGGGGAAAATAAAGAAAAAAAGTAAAATACCATTGTTTCTGAGTGTCACAATCGTATCAGATAACACTGTCGTTAAACAACAAATGTAGACCAATATGAACGGTCTAAATACATCACGAGCGGGTCACGAGCGGGTCACGGTTGAACAATCGTCATTCGTGTATCCAATATCTATACGCGTTAAGTTGTTTATGTCAGGTCAAACATTGGTTGTAGAATTATGTTTTAATTTTTAATAACAATATCATGAAAACATCCGTGATATCATTAA